TTTATGCCATGTAAACTTTGTGGTTAAAAAAAAAAAAAAATCCTAGTTTTTCTAATCTGGAACATACTCAAAATCTTGCTGTTTCTGTGTGTTATAAACTGACTAGTTTCTCTAACTACAACCTACTTACAACTTATATGTTAGTAGTTGCTGAGATGTATATAGACATTTTAATGACTAATGACACATAATGAAGCTTAATTTGTAAAATATTAAGATTAAGAGTAAAATAACATTTTAATCTGTGTAAAGTATCAGTGGCACTGTCATTATTATAACATTTACTCAGTAGCTATTATGAACATTAAAAAACATGAGTAATTTTAATAGTTCCTATACATCAGCATTCACTAGTGACAATACTAACTCTCAAGGTCATAACCCATAAGCTAGCATGTATCTAATGACTGCTTCTTTAACATTCTGGGGTATTACAATTTGGCTTTTTTAAAGAAATTTAGATATGTTTGAAAATGATAGTTTTATTAAGGTAAAATTTTGGCATTAGAAGACAAATTTATGCTATATTTTAATCTTAGTACTAAGTAATTTACAAATGCTAAAAATAAAAAATTAGGCTTGCAGTTATTTTCTATTTGTGTTACACAACCACTATTGCTATAGGTGCAACAGTGTATATACTTTTGTAGTATATACAGGAGGCCCTGAATAGCTGTCAGCCTTGTTATCTAATGAAGAATTCTCATGATAATGGTTATCATATAGAAGTTTGCTTGTTATACAAAGTAAAGACAAGGTCTCTAAGAAATTATAACTTCCTTTCTTTATTGTTTTGTTTTAAAACATATAGATCTAATAGTATAACAGTAGACTTAAAAAGTGCCTATCAGGAGTTATCTGAAAGGAAAGCAATCAGATTTTTCTTATCTCCCAGAAGAGTTAGAGTAAACAAAAGACTAGAAGAGTTTTTTGTTTTTGTTTTTCTTGGTTTATTTTTTTTCTTATGATGAAGCCAAAAGAAAGAAAATTGGCAGGCAGTGAATCCATCACTTTAAATTGGGTGGTCACTATACAGGAGAGAATTGTAGAGATTTATACTAAGAGGTTAAAGTGGATTGAAGTTTTCATGGGAAGAGCTCAATTGAATTTTTTGAAATAATCAACTATATTAGTTGTATTCAGTATGAACAACTAAAGGTTTTTTCATATCAGGTATTCAACTCAGAACCAAGATAGAAGTAATATTTCTAAATTGTAAAAAGAAATTGGTAGGAAAAATTGAGAAAACAGCCTTATACCTCTATAGAGGAAACTCAGAATTATAGATAGTAGAAGTCAGTACTCCTGATTAATCTTTTTAATTTAAGTTGTACTAATGTATATTAAGTGTGATTTATATGTAATCTCCAAATGTCAGTCTGACTTATTTTTTTTCCATGTAGTTTTTCAGAAATCCTTTTATTTAGTTGTGTAGAAATAATGGGTATTACAGACAGTCTTTCCCAACATTTCGTAATAGATACCAACCCATGTCAAGGACTCACCTCTGTTATCTCAATTGGTGATTTTCAAGATTATAAAATAAATTTAATGAGATGCAAACACTATTTTAAAAGGGAAATAGGATAAGTAGGAATTTTAAAACAACATTACATCACATACAGTGTTGTTATATAGTTCATAGAATTCACATTTCTGTCTTATAGTTGACTGATGATAGGTAAGTATGTATAGCATTATATGCAAAATGTAATCTTTTAGTTGTGAAAAGCTTGAGAGAAACACACCTAAATGCAATCTTATCACTTTGTTGAGCTAAAGTAGTTGATACAAATTACTAATTCTTGTGATGTTATCTTTTCAGGATAAGGACTCAGAAGAAGAACAAGGGTAAGTATTTACATTTTAACTATTTCTTAATATTTTTAAGTGATGTTTTATCACTAATACACAGATACATTTTTGGAAACGTCTAAGGAAAAATAGTTTTTTGTCTTAATAAATTGCTATTTTATTGCAGATTAGATTATTATTAAGTTGGAAAAATAAAGTCACCATTTTTTTCCTATGAGGCTTCTCAGTAGTCATGTAACACACTGACTCCTTCATTCACACATTGACTTGAATGCATACTAAAATAGTTTAAAATATACATAGACTAAAACTTTAATGGGTAGGTCATTTTATGTCCCCAGTGGACACATGTACATACTTTTCTTTGGTTGGGGTAAATGTATGAATTGTGATGATAATATAATATTGAAGTTGTGGAGATGTTTGCAAACCAGTCTCAAAATATTGCTTCTAAACAAAGTAATGATAATAGCTGTAATTTGAAAAATAAATCCTGTAGTCTCCTAATTCTTGAAAACATTGCTGTGAACAATTAAGTAGGTACTTTGAGCAAGTATGACCTCGTATATTGTAGTGTCCATTGTTAGTGTTCAAGAGAAAAGAATGGTGTGAGCACTGTCAAGACTTTTGACCATGAACCCTTAGAATTCAGAGTATCCCACAAGGCAGAAATAATAGTAATTTGAGAGGCAACAGCCCGTAAGGAAAGCACTGTACCATTGTGAATGGTCACATTGATTATGTCCCCACTGTAGCTCATACATGGTAGAAAAGGATGACCAGCTGGAAGCAGAACAAGTAGATGCCCACTCTCTCAGCACATACGTAAAAGCTGATGCAAGTGATGCGCAAGAAGATTCTGCACCTGAGGACAAGTTCTGTGGCCTGGACGAACTCCATATTCTGGATATGATAGAGCAGGTGAGCAGTGGAGAGGGCCCAGCCCTGCCTTCCTCCTTGGAGAAAGAATTGATGATTTTGTTTCCTCTAGACTCTTTAAACATTATGTCTTTTTGAAAATCCCAGCAGAAAAGCAACAAAAACAGGAAAAGGGGGAATTGCAAGACAAAGGAGATTACAAAAAAAGAAAAAAAAAAACCCATTGACACTACAAACTTCATATGTGCCCTCAAATCATTTCTTGACTACTGGGAAATGTTGATAAATGCATTTCTTGTTAAAAAAAAAAAAAAAAAAAGAAAAGAAAGAAAAAAATGGTTTCTGATTTGAGTATGAAGGAACAGAGAGAGGAGACAACTACAACACACTAAAAACTAGCGACTAGTATAAATCCACTAAATTAAATGTCATAAAAATAGATTTTAATAAATCTACTTCGATTTCTTTTTAAATTAAATTTAAATTTATATTAAATTCTAAAACCATATTAAATTTGGTTATAGAATTTTTTCTAGGTCCTTTTCTGGCAGTATTGACAGATTGAAATGCCACACCTATAAGTAAAAGAATATTAGTGCACAAAAGAACAATTATTCATACAAAAGAACAATTACTAATACAAAGTAGTTGAAGGATTAAACCATATTCACACACATATGCATACATACCATGTTTGAAGTTAGGGGTGAACTGCTCTATAGTTTAAAATGTGGATGCCTCAAATGGACAGAACTAGAAAAAAAACATCCTAAGTTTGTAACCCAAAACCAGAAAGACAAATACAATATATACTCACTCATAAGTGCATACCAGAAATAAAGCAAAAGATACTCAGCCTAAAATCTGTAACTGCAGAAAAGCTTGAACCCTCTTCCAGAAACAGATGAAAGCAGATGCAGAAATCCACAACTAACCAATGGGCCAAGCTTCTGGAGTATAATCTAATGGAGGGAGGAGTGATAATATGAACAAAGGAGTCAAGACCATGATGGAGAAACCCACAGAACCAGCTGACCCGAGCTAGTGAGAGATCACTGACTCAGGTCTGACAAATGGGGAACCTGCATAAGACTGAATTAGACAGTGGTGTGACTGGGACAATATATGATGCCACTGGCAGTGGGTTCAAGATCTAATACTAATGCACTAATTGACTTAGTGGAACCCATTCTATGTGGAAAGATAGCATGTCTAGCCTAGACACGGGTGTAGGCTTAGTTGACTTCCTAGGGGAAGATGGGAGAAGGCAGTGAGTGAAGGGAGCGGGAGGAGGGGAGGAAGGGAGAGCTGGGATTGAAATGTAAAAAAAAAAACCCATGGATGCTTCACAATCAGTTACTCATTGCCCAGAGGTCAAATTGATCTGAATAAATCCTTGACTACAGTATTAGAATATATATATATATATTAATTGAATTGACATAGCTTTGGGTATTACACTGGGATTTAAATATGGGGCCATTAATGTTAGTCCAGTAACCCAGAAGAACTCAAAATGAGAATACAGGAGAGAAGTTGAGCATTAAAATAACTTGGTGCACTACTGTAATTAAGAATGGCCACTTGTTACTGCCTGAGTAAGAATTTAGACTCTTCATTTACAATCTGCAAACAGGCATATGATTCCTATAAAAATAAGAGCATTACAAAACTGCAAGTAGCAAGCCTGAGTGTCACCAGTGGCCACAACTTACCGCTGTTTAATTATTTGAGTAAAGCACGAATGGGAATTGTTACAGATGGCAACTTTATATACAGGAGAAATCCTGTAAGTAGAAAATACTAGCAATTTTTTTTTTATAGGAAAAATAAGTATTCTTATTGCATTTGCTTAAGGGCTCATCTGGAAAGGAAAGTGCAGACTGCAAAGAAACTGAAAAGGAAAGGCTTGCTCATCAACACCAGCTTTATAAATTGCAGTATGAGTGTGAAGTGAGTACTTTCACCATTAAATCTAAGGGAATAAATATTTTGAAATGTTTATATTCAATGACATTGTTTTAAAGAACTCAGTGAAATGAACCTATATTCATTACTGGTAGGGGTACAAATTAATACAACCATGATGGAAATCAGTGTGTAAATTCCTCAAAGAATTAAAAATGGAACCACAATATAACCCATCCTTCTCACTCCTGGGTATATACTCAGAGAACTCTGAGTATACCCTACGAAGGAGATATTTGCATCCCCTGTGTTTCCTGCAGCTTTATTCACTATAGCAAAGAATTAAAGTCAGCCTTCTCTATCAGTAGATGAATGGATGGATAATGGACACTTGTGAGATGTTAGCTTCAGAAACATACATACTAAAATTGGAATGATACAGAGAAGATTAGCATGGCCCTTGTGCAAAGAAGACACAGAAATTCATCAAGCATTCTGTATTTTGTTCAGCTTTGATGTGTTAGTTTTTGTTTTCTTATTATATTTTATTATATCTTAGGAGCCTGTTTCCTAATGAAAGACAGAAAGGGGTGAATCCAGATGGGAGGGGATATGGAGAAGAACTGAGAGTAGTAGAGGGAGGGGAAGCCATAGTCAGGGTATATTATATGAGGAAAATATTTATTTCCAATAAAAGGGGAAAAGGGAAAATTTGATGTGTTTGTGTGGGAGTATGTATACATATATACGAATACTATATAACTAAAGGAAAATGGAAGTTTAAAAAGTCTGCAGGAAAATGGATGGCCATCTACGTATAGTATTAGTTAAGAACACGATCTGAGAAATCAAGTCCATGCTCATTCTCATATGTGGAACCTAATATATATGTGTGTGTGTGTGTGTGTGTGTGTGTATGTAAACAAACAAGTATGCATCTAGGTACTTTATAGTATAAAAAGAACAAGAAAGACTGAATAAGGGAATGAGGAAGGACTAAATAAACATAATGGATATGAGTTGTGAAAAAAAATGTAAAGTTTTTCTTTTACCATAGGTTTTTTTTATGGTAGATAAATGCATACAATATTTGATACTGAAAATGAAATATTTAATATGAAGCTTCATAGTTCCCGTTTTAATGACAATGCTAGTCGTATAGGAGAAGTTCATTAAGTTGTATGCACATAGGTTCTGGTTAATTTTGGTATGTAATGTTTTTATTTATTTGCAAGTATTTTTATAATGTTAAATTTAGAAAACTCAATGTGGATGTTTTTTTCAATTTTTTGGTGACTTGAAACTATTTTTCATTGAGCAGGATTACAAAAGACAACTGAAAACAGTGACATTTCGGTGGCAGGAAAATCAAATGCAAATTAAAAAGAAAGAAAAAATTATTGTATCTCTTAATCAGCAAGTGGCTATTGGAATCAATAAAGTGTCCAAGTAAGTACAAATTTTTGATAAAAATGAAAATTCTGAGTTTGCCTTTTTTAGTCTTAATCTTTCTGCAGCCACTAGGTGGCAGTGTGACTGTATAGTAGGAATTACAAGGCTGTATGTGCTTTCCTTTTTGAGAAGTCAGAATAAGAAGATAGAAATTTCAAATGGATGAGATATAGGAGTTCATTTGCTGTTTTCAAGGCCAAGATTTGTGGTGCTTATAAGACATACTCAGTCCCCTTTGCAGCTACAGTAAATGAAGTTTTTTTGTATTAATGCAAATAATTTCTAACATTTTATGATTTCCTCATTATTTGCTTAGATTACAGCGCCAAATCCATGCTAAAGATGATGAAATCAAAAACCTTAAAGATCAACTTTCCCTGAAAAGGTACAGCATTTCCTTTTGTTGGTACTCCCTCTCTGAAACTGCATTTTACTCAACATTTTAAGCAGTGGTAACCAATAATTTGTCATTCAGACTTTCTTTTCCACATAAGATTGAGTAATATCAACAGCTACATTGGGTCAGTCAGTGTAAACAGAAGAGGTGGAGGCAGATTGGAAGGTATGTTCATCATAACTGACTGGAGAAACTGAGAGCAATTCATTCAGCTGCATTGCAGCCTCACTGAAGTACACAACTATCACTGCTGTGTATTTCCAGAACATTTTTGGTACCCTTCAAATCGAACCATGTATGTTTTTAATGTTACCCTTCTTACTTCATTAGCTTCTGGTAAACACTAATTTACTTTGTCTTTTGGATTTGCATATTCTGAGCATCTCATAAAATGCAGTTATGTATATGGCTCTTGTAGCCAGCTCCTTTCATTTAATATACTGCTTTGAAATTCCTCCATGTTATAGCATGCTTATGTATTTGTTCCTTTTATAAATATGTATTGTTTAGATGTAGCATATTTTGTCTTCATCTGTTTAGTGTTCAATTGACTTGGTGTCCTCTGTCCCCCACCACCACACTTCTTATTAAGAAGCATTTACATATAGATGTTTTTGTGAATGTTTTTCTTTTTGAGTTTATCCCAGCAGTAAAATTGCAGGATTATCAGTAAGCTTTGCACCAATCCTTTTAAAGAATAATTAAGCTGTTTTACAAGTAGCAACTTTTTATAGTGTAGGCAAGTAATGGTGGGCCAGTTCTCATCTCTCTTTTTTCTCACCAAACTTCTTAGATTATCTGTAATTGTAAATATAGAGCTTAATATCTCTTTGGTTTATATTTGTATTTTTCCATGGACTTAAGTACATTCAATGATATTATGTGCTTATTAATTAATGTATCTTAAGTAAATTTTTATTCAGATTCTTGGCCTGTTTTAAAATTTGGAAATCTTTTTTACTGCTAAACATTGTAAGTTCTTTGTTTTAGTGCAAGTAGGTTTTTTGTTGTGTCTCACAAATGTTAGGGAAGTGCTCTAGCAATAAGTTGTCACTTTTGATCTACAGCTATTTTTGCCCATTCTATAAGTAGTTTTTCCTTTTGCCTGATATCCTTAAGTTATAACTTTTTAATTTTGATGGAATGAAACTTTCTTTTTATTTTAGGCAAATTTTATACAGAATTTAGTGATATAATAGTTAATACTTTTATTGAGGTAATTTTCTACTTAAATATTTGATATTTTTTTCTCCCTAGTAATCACTATCCTTAATGATAGATATTTGTCACATTTCCCCATCAAAAGTTTTTAAGTTTTTAAGCATTTGAGTGTATTTCTCTTGGCAAAACATTGAAAATGGTTTCTATAATGTTCCTTATTATAAAGTTATGCTTTCAGTTGCTCTTGGTAAAGGCAGAATTTAGTTTGCAGACTATGTAATTCTGAGATTTCAAGGTAGAAAGCTAAGAAGGGATGGGGGGGGCAAAGAAAGAATCTTCAGAGGTTCCACAGACTATATTAGTCTATATAGTCTGGTTCTCTTTTTATGATTCAAGCTATGGATTTAGTTCCATTCTAAGGTGTGAACTCCAAATACTGAAATAACTAGAAAGCTCTTTGATTGCAGTGACTTCCTTATTACAAAGATAAGGATTTACATGGCTGCTGTTATTGGCAGAAGAGTAGGCACTGTTAAAATAAAATTTATTAACAATAATATTTAGTATATAATGTCAAACATGGAATGTTTTATGTATATTTTCTGAATTATTTTTATAGCAATTTTTTTTTAAGGTGATAAGACTTCCTTCATTTTCACAAATGCAGAAGCTAAGTATAGAGAACTAAGCACCTCACTCACATGGTTCCTCCACTATTACACACTATTGACTGGGTACTTACTAACAGCAGACATGGATTTCTCCAAGGTCAGGGTGACACCCAGTTTGATATCTAATAAGGGCTTATTGACTCCCAGAAAGTCTTCCTCATGAGAAGGGCTATAGACCTGTCTCAAAGCATCATTTAAAATAAAGTATTATTTCTCAAAGTTCTATGTCCAAACCATTAGGCAAACTGATTGCCTTGTCCAAGATCCTCACTTAGGTGTTTGTTGTGTGAAAAACGTCCTGGGAAGATGCAACACCCGTATCTACTCATCCCAGATAGGGAATCCATGATAGACTAAGTACAGATAGGAATGTGAGTGAGGAGTTTCTTAGAGGCACAGAAATGTCTCAAAGACATCTGCATTACAAAGGCCCACCCCACAAATCTGGGAACCTGGATCACATGGCACAGCCTAAGGCAGCTCATCAGGTTGGATTATGACCTTTCCAGGTATCTCAGTTGGTCTAAACCTCTTCCAGGTACCTGATCTGGTCTGTTTTTGCAGCTTGGCTCTGCTCTTCTGATGGGGACTCTTAGCTTTTATTGCTTACTCAGGTCAGGAGGGGCCTAGTGAATCTGGCCAGTTTCAGGGACTTCCTAAATTTGTTTTGAGTTGTTTATACCTTAACTGTTTTAAGTGCTTTTCTGTAATGTTTAAATCTTGAAGGAAACTTACACAACAATAAAGTGTGGGTCAAGGAGAACTCAAACATTCAATGCATTTATTGTTTTTTTTTTTAAGGTTTTTATGTTTAGAAGTTACGGTGTAAGACTCATTTTAAGAGTAGAGATTCAGAATTTAGGTCATAGCCTCTGTACTGAGGACCTTAAAATTTCTGTACTTTTGGTAGTACACAGAAACTATAAGATTTAAACAATGTCTCCTCTTGTTTATATGCTATGTATACTTTTGCAAGGAAACATTTCTTATGATAATGAAGAAAGAGCTATCATTGTAATGTTGCTAATTTTTAATGATCATTCATTTCAGATCTCAATGGGAAATGGAGAAGCATAATCTTGAAAGCACAGTCAAAGCATATTTAAACAAACTGAATGCAGAAACCAATAGAGCCTTAACAGCTGAGGTAAAAGGAAAAGGGGAATGGAAGTGGGCTGGTAGTTTTTCTGTAGTATAGTTAAAGAGTTGAAAAAAAATTGGCTATGAATAAAGAGAAATAGGACATCTTAATGTCATTCAGAAAAATACAGCTTAAACTCATACCCTTTTGTTTTGCTGACATATCGTCTGGGAGTACTTGAGTATTTTTAATCTTACATTACTTTCATTCATTGACTCCAAGAAATCACAGTACTTACAGAGACTAATTCTCATAAAGCTATGTCATTAAGCCATACTTACAAGAAAAACATTTCACCACTACTGTAATACTACTTTCTCTGCTATGTCCCATACAAATCATACAAAAATATATATCATAAGCATCATAAGCCCCAACGTCAAAAGCCAACTTACTTTTCATAACCCTAGAAAGTTAGTTTATAATGCCATAGCTAGGTTCTCTCGGAAGAAATAAGATTTTGTGAGGCTGGGTGGTGGTGGCAGAGGCAGGCAGATCTATGCAAGTTTGAAGGCAGCCTGGTCTACAGAGCTAGTGCTAGGTCAGGCTCCAAAGCTACACAGAGAAACCTTGTCTCAAAAAACAAACAAAAAAATTGCATGTATGCATCTAATTTCTATTTATAGCTGATGAAACTTGCTTTATAGTAAGATTCATATTGTTTGAAGAACTTGCTGTCTTCA